TGATATACACCTGAACATCAGCAGGAGAGGACTCTTTAAAGTAGAGACACTACATACTGATATACACCTGAACATCAGCAGGAGAGGACTCTTTAAAGTAGAGACACTACATACTGATATACACCTGAACATCAGCAGGAGAGGACTCTTTAAAGTAGAGACACTTACATACTGATATACACCTGAACATCAGCAGGAGAGGACTCTTTAAAGTAGAGACACTACATACTGATATACACCTGAACATCAGCAGGAGAGGACTCTTTAAAGTAGAGACACTACATACTGATATACACCTGAACATCAGCAGGAGAGGACTCTTTAAAGTAGAAACAATACATAACATAACGACATATTTAATTAACAATGTATTCCTTGAACTCGATGATGATAACTCACACAGTAAATTGATATCATTGTGATTCCTATATGTTATTTATGTATCTGTGTCTGTGTAGGTGTTGAGTGTTGGGTTCCCTGCAGGATTTAAGCTAACGAGCATTTAGCTGCTGCTTCTCCTGCAGTCATGTCAGTAATATCAATAATTATAAAACACATCATAGATAGTATTCTGAAATGGACCAATCTGCAAAATGACTACTTTTACTGTCACTACTTTCACTATATTTTGATGAGAATACTTTTCTACTTTTACTTGAGTAACATTTTGAATGCAGGACTTTTACTGTAACAGAGTATTCCTACACTCTGGTACTTCTACTTTTACTCAAGTACAAGATCTGAGTACTTCTACTTTTACTTAAGTACAAGATCTGAGTACTTCTACTTTTACTGAAGTACAAGATCTGAGTATTTCTACTTTTACTGAAGTAAAATATCTGAACAATTCTACTTTTACTAAGGGACAAGACCTGAGTACTTCTACTTTTATAAATACAATCAAGTGTTAAATCAGAAGATACCCTGCAGTATACAAAGTCATTAAAATAGCTGCACCTTTACCAGCTTTGAGAACACTTTAATGATCAATCATTATATCAAAACCTATATAATGGAAAACAAATGTATGATCACAATCAGAAACATTTGTCCCATATATATATATTATTATTATTGTCATTATTGTTATAATTCATATTTATTTTAATACCGTGTTTCACCACAGGGAGGCAGTGAATTTATGTTTAAAAAGAAAAACTAAAATCCCATGATGCATTGTGGCTTTTCGTTTCTAGTTTCCGGTCCTCAGAAGCTAGACGTTGCTAACAGACGTTGAAGCAGATTTTATACCGAATGTAATGTGTTTAATGTACTTTTAAAACACATACAAATACTTAGTTTATCCTTGGAGGGTGATTTATCCGTTACACCGTGTTTTTGTTGCCTCCCGTTTTTTGTTTGTTGCTTTTTATACCACGTTGCTAATTGGTAAACATAAGTAAAGGCATTAAACGGAGATTAGTGTGTTTAACGGCAGTGTTTTATCAAGGAGAAGAAAGACTGAAGAACCAGGACGAAGAGGGTGTGGGTGGGTGGATGTGTGTGTGTTTTTGTGTCTAGTTTGAATGACTTTGTATACTGCAGGATAGCTTGTGAATTTACTCCAGGTGGAACTAAAGTCTGATTTAAGAGTTGATTATATTTCACATCATTCATCCACATCTGTAAAGTAACTAAAGGTATTCAATACATGTAGTGGAGTAAAAGTACACCATTTACCTCTGAATTGTAGTGGAGTAAAAGTACAAAATAGCATTACATGGAAATAGTGTTGACAGACCTGCTGTTCAAGTGGCCGTGACAGACCTCACTTTTACCTCGCCTACCTCTATTAAGCTTACCATTGATAACAAATGCTAACTTGGCTATAATTTGGTTTGATGGAAAGGATGTATGTCTCAATAAAGTCTTACCAGACATGTGAAGCTAGACAGAACATCCTGAACTCTTGACCTATGCACATTATGCATTTTAGAAGGTGCAAGCAAAGCATAAAAGTTCCAACCACAACATCGATTGAGGACAACAATGCACACAGGATGAGAGCGAACTGTGTACAGACTTGATGGTTTTAGGTCCAACATCCAGGAGCAACACATCTTAGAGACAATAGAGACAGTTTGTTTCTGTTAATAAATTACAGTTGCATATTTGAAATTGAAGTTAAAATACATTTCAATTCTAAACATGACATTTAAAATGTGTTTTGCTTTCATGGACATGTTAATATTCCCTTTTGTTAAAATTGCATATCATTACTATAGTCTTCATTTTTTTAATTTTAACTTTACATTTTTTAATTGATTCATTGAGTAAGAATTGAACCTATGTGACCTCCTTCTCACTCAAAGATAGAAAAGGGGAAACCATCTGATGTAGAGAGGGAGGAGGGAAGAGGCTATGAAAGATGAGTGAAGAGAAACGGGGGAGCTTGGTGGGACTTTTTTTTGGCTTGAATTTGGGTCTTGGGCTCTTTTAGGGCTCTAGGGGGCTCACTTGGGAACCTGTTGCTTTTGTACTTTGACTTTGTGTCCTTGTAAAACTTATGTTCTTTTTTGGATCTTGTAAATCCTCTATATTTGTTAAAAACCTAATAAAACCGGTTTGTACTTTGTACATTTTGACCCAATTCCTGGTCTCTCTGGTGGTCTCTGAAGGTATCTGCTTGGTCTTAGAGCAGTGGTTCTAAGACCTGGCACATAGGTCACATAGGTTCTAAGACCTGGCATGCCTCTGGGGCCCCCTGGGGGGCGCAGAGGCATGCCAGGGGGGGGTGCGAGAGACCAGGAGGAAAAATGGTTAAAAAAAAAAAAAATCATAATTTAAAAAATGATTGATTCGAAAATAATATAATGCAGTACAGTACTATTACGTCTGGGTCTCTGTGTTTCATTAAAGCTCGACTGTGTGTGTGTGTGTGTGAAACGAGCCATTTTGTGTGCACGAGCGAGAGAGAGCGCACCGGTACTGGAGATCGTTGTTGTTAGCTTCTGGTGCTAGCGAGCTACGCTAACAGATATAAGGAGTTTTTTCAACAACAAAGTGGAGGAGAGTCCTCTCCTGTCAGACTGAGAGACTCAGTGAGCTAAAGGACTCTCAGTGGGTCTCAAACGTTTTGGTCACCATTAATGTAAACAATTGTTTCCGAGGCACACGTTTATATGATCATTATAGTTATACAAAAATAAGAGAATAAATGAAAAACAGGTATGAAATACTATCTGACAGTAAAAAAATAATAAAGTTTAAAAGGGTGATTTGTAAAATATCTATAAAGAAAAAGTAAATCTGTTTACAGTTCTGTTTCATCTGGGTGTTGAGAGAGGTATCCATAGAGCTCTTCATGTTGCTCTCAAAGTGCACCAGATTGATGCTTTCAACTTCAATATTTAAAAATAAATCTTCCCGGGGGAGCTTGCCCTCGGACCCCCCTAGAGGAGGTGAGGACCCCCCTATGTGAGATCCACACACCACCTGTAAAAATAGCACTTTACCCCTGCTTACACCTATATGCCGTGAGCTGATTATCGAGCCTTCATTGTAACAGTCACTGTGTATATGCGTGGGGATTGTTGCAGTAGAAAATTCCACTGTAGCGCCCGGTGCATTAATGGGAAACCCTAAATGTTTGAGCACCCTCTATGAAACGTCAAGCTACCCCACAGCACCTCCAAAAGAAATCTCTGGCGCCGCCACTGAGCCTGACTATTTGTGTTGGGGGGGCCCGACTTTTTTTTTTCTCCAAAGGGGGGGCCTGACAGAAAAAGTTTGAGAACCACTGTCTTAGAGTAAGGTAAGAACACCCTTCCTTGGAAAAGGCTGACTCTAGTTGATAATTTGGACTTGAAATTGTTTATGGGAAATAGAAACCCTGCGAAGGTTAAACTGTAGTTTCATATTGGTTACTGTGGTTGATGTGGTTTTGATTGATGCTGAAATATGACATGTGCTCTGCTGATGTGGTAATATCACTGCTGTGATATTGGTGTTTGACTCTGGCTATGTTTGATATTACATTTGCATTGTTTTAATTGGCATAACTGGTTAGGGATTGTGGGTCCTGAAGCTGCCCTAATTACCAGGGAGTCTCCCAACCACACAGGGTTTCTCCTCCAGGGACAGTTTAGATACTGCTCTGGGTTCTACCAGCTCACCAACACCTACTGCACTACACACTCCGTTTTGCGATCCTGGCGGTCGGACATCCAACGCTTTAGTGCCTGAAATAAGTGATACGACGGGCAGCTGGTGTTAGAGGCCAAGCTGAGGCCAAGCCCCCTAAGCAGATTACGTTGATCTTGCGTTTAGATTCTGGGGTTAGTCCTAAACTGGCGTTTTTATACGTACAAAAGTGGTGGGGCACAAAAAACTTAGATGTCTATATATAAGCTTCTGCAGTGACGCGCAGTGAGGTTCATGGCTGGTGAGGCACTGACTCTTCAGGTTTACAAATATTATATTTTGACCTAAATCAAAACATAATATTATTTTCAAAAGCTTTTTTTGTCTGATGCTTCGATTAATTTTAAACAGACAGTTCAACAAAAGGATACCCAAAAAATGTAATTTTATCATTTACAGCCGGCTGAACAAAACGTGCATTTATCTAACAGGTACGTTTCCCACAGATCTTATTTCGAGCTATTTTCTAAAATCCTATGGAGAAATCTCATTGCTTTTTTGTCAAGGGAAGCCATGCGCAGCTTACTTCCGGGTTTTAGGACGCGTCACTGCAGCTCTCTCGTCTCCTCTTCACACACCACACTTTTCGCGGCACACGTACTTACAGCCAATCAGCTCTGAATTATGTGAGATGAGGTATGGTGGGGATGGCTGCTCGGTGCCCCATGGTCATTCTTTTTTTGCCACACACATTAAATAGGAAAATACTCTGAGCATGCGCAGTGTAGTTTTTACAGTCACCATTCATTTAGACAGTGAGAGGGAGGGGCATGATCGGGTTTTGTCCCACATGGCTCGAAACAGCTCAATAGGCACACACTGTAGACACTAAAGAACACAGACTAAAACAACAATGTACAGACGAATCAGATGATTAAATATGATCTTAAAATATATTTGATATATTTTGTTTTGCATTTTTTTGCAATCATTATTGTTAATACTTTCTGCTGACACCTGCCCCTACTGACCAGTCACCACTGGTCCTAAAGGTAGGACGGACGTTTTCCGGAGCCTTATCAGCATCTAAGCTCAGTATCAGTATCAGAGATGACCTAGATATTAACGTTGGTTGTATCAAAGTTAGATTCCTTTTCAATATTAAAGTACAAGTACCTCTAAATAGTACTTAAGTACAGTACTTGAGTAACGCACTTAGTTACTTCTCGCCTCTGCTATTAACCTAAGACGTAGCTGTAGATTTGTCTTGTTGTGTCTATCAGTTGTATTGAGTTGTCTTGTTTTGTGTCAGCTGTAGTTGTGTTGATTATTTCAGAGACACAGCCGGAGAAGGAGCACTGAGAGCAGCATGGAGGAGAACAAAAAGACCCCTGGAGCTCAGGTCAGTGTGCACTTCATCACAATATATTCCTAACACTGTTATCCCCAAATGAATGATCACAACCTGTTTAGAAAATACAATATGAATGCACAATATGGTTTGAACAGTGGTTCTCAACTGGTGGGACCCGTTTTGAGTGGGTATGTTTGAGTGAAAAAAATAAACGTTTATTTTGAAGGCCCGATTTTCTAACGCTATGCATGCAGTAGCTGTTGGACTGGAAGTACCGGAGACCATAAACGGTTTTGAAAACTTCTGTCACGTAGTGATCATCTTCTTGATAAAACGTCTTTGCTGATGTTTTTTCGAGTCTTCTGGCCAATCAGAATCAAGATTGTTGCCGGAAAGGAAAAAAGTTGGTCCCAAGGCCTGACCAGTTGAGAACCAAGGGGTTAGAAGATTACTACTTACTGTTGTTAGTACGTTGCCTCTATTTTCTGTGATTAGAACGTTGCTGTATTTAAAAAAATGTTAAACATTTATTTCTAGATTTTTTACATTTATCACATTACATAAACACAACCGAAAATTCCCCAACATTAGACTTATGGCAGATAAAAAGATAATGCAAAAAAAGTGTGCATATACTAGAATCATCAATCAGTATAAAGTACAGACCAAGAATAGAATTACATTGGCAAATTCAACAAAAATACAATAAAAGCAGATCCACAAACAGAGCAGAGTATAGCTTTCAATTCTCCAAATAGATTAACCATATTCAAAATGTCCTCAGTAGTAGTTGTAGTTTAGCCTTTTCACTTTAACCTTCCTGCCTTTGACTCCGGATCCCGGCGTATATAGACACCAAAAAGAAAGACATTTGGGGAGGCTGGGTTAATGGGAACATGAGTGTACACAGGTATAGACAGAGAGAAGGAAGAAGTAGGATGTCCCCCGACAAACTAAGCCTATATCAGCAAAACTAGGGGCTGAATCTAATCAGCCCTAACTATAAGCTTTATCAAAAAGGAAGGTCTTAAGCACACTCTTAAAAACGGATAGGGTGTCTGCCGCCCGAACACAAACTGGAAGCTGATTCCACAAATGTGGAGCTTGATAAGAAAAGGCTCTGGCTCCCATTGTACTTTTAGAGACTCTAGGAACAACCAACAACCCTGCATTCTTGGAATGCAATGCCCTAGTAGGACAGTAGGATATAATGAGTTATTTAAGGTAAGATGGCGCCTGCCCATTAAGGGCTTTGTAGGCGAGAAGAAGAATTTTCAATTATATCCTGTGTCCTATAGGGAGCCAGTGTAAGGCAGCCAGAACAGGAGTAATGTGGTCCCTTTTCCTAACTCTGGTTAGTTCATGAGCTGAAGTGTTTTGAATCAGCTGAAGCGACTTGACTGGCTTCTTGGTACACCCTGATAATAAGGAGTTACAATAATCCAGCCTTGAAGTAACAAATGCATGGACTAGTTTCTCTGCATCGTTTTGAGGCAAGATATGCCTGATTGTTACGTAGATGGAAGTAGGCGGTCCTTGAAATTGATTTTGTGTGGGCGTTAAAGGATAAATCCTCATCAAATATAACACCAAGATTCCTTACAGTCTCACTGGAGGCCAAATTAATGCCATCCATAGTTAGTATATCTTTAGATAATTTGTTTCGTAGATTGTTCGGGTACTGAGTACAATAACTTCAGTTTTGGTCGTGTTTAACATCAACAAGTTTAAGGTCATCTACGTTTTTAAGTCCTTGAGGCAGTCTTGAATTTTATTTAGATGATTAATTTCATCAGGCTTGATTGATAAATATAGTTGAGTATCATCCGCATAACAATGAACATTTACAGAATGATTCCTTATAATATTGCCTAACGGAAGCATATACTGTATAATGTGAATAAAATAGATCCGAGCACTGAGCCTTGTGGCACTCCATGGCTAACTTTGGTTTGCGTGGAAGATTCATCGTTGACACGTACAAACTGAGAGCGTTCAGATAGATGGGACCTAAACCAGCCTAAGGCAGTTCCCTGTATGCCAACTAAGTGCTCTAGTCTTTGCAATAAGATATCATGGTCGATAGTATCAAATGCAGCACTGAGATCGAGCAAGACAAGAGTAGAGACAAGTCCTTTGTCTGAGGCTATTAGAATGTCATTTGTGACTTTAACCAGAGCTGTCTCTGTGCTATGATGTGTTCTAAAGCCAGACTGAACATCTTCAAATAAATCATTGTTTTTTAAGTAATCACACAACTGTTTTGCGAATGCTTTCTCAAGAATGTTTGAGAGGAACGGAAGATTAGAAATAGGTCTATAGTTGGCTAAAACATCTGGATTGAGGTTGTGATTTTTAAGAAGAGGTTTTATCACTGCTACTTTGAATGATTATGGAACATGGCCTGATAATAAAGACATATTCATAATATTTATTCGCAGCGTATCTGTAGCACTATCAACAACATGATCAATTTGGGGTGGTGTACCTTTTGTATAAGTTTCCTCCCTTACATGCAGACATGCTATCGAGTTAAGTATTGGTGGAATCTCTTCCTTAAATTTGGCTATAGCACTAACAGATAGGTTTCTGCTGCAGGAGCTTTTGACTAATGCTTTGTAGTCTAGGAACAGTACTTCAAAAGTTACTAAGAAATGGTCGGATAAAGCAGGATTTTGCGGTTCGACTAATAGTTGCTCAATTTCAATACCATAAGTCAGAACAAGGTAGAGAGTGTGATTATAGCAGTGGGTTGGTTTATTTACACTCTGACGAAAACCAACAGAATCTAATATAGAGTTAAATGCAACAGTAAGGCTATTTTTATCATCGTCAACATGAATATTAAAGTCACCTACGATAATTACTTTATCTGTTTTAAGTACCAAAGTTGATAAAAACTCAGAGAATTCTGATAAGAATTCTGAATAAGGACCTGGTGCACGGTACACTGTAACAAATAAGATTGGCTGCAAAGTTTTCCAGGTCGGATGCGTAAGACTAAAAACGAGACTTTCAAAGGAGGTATAATTTAATTTTGGTTTAATATTGATAAGTAAACTTGAGTCAAAGATTGCTGCAACTCCACCTCCTCGGCCCGTGCCTCGGGCAATGAGTATTGATATGGCTGGGTGGAGTGGAGTGAGAGAGCATATATCAATATTATAATCTGATATTAAATCATTTACCAATATTGCTTTAGATGCTAGAGATCTTATGTTTAAAAGACCACATTTAATCTTCCTGTTTTGTTGCACTGTAGTAGTTGTTACATTTACTTTTATTAGGTTATTATGTATGACACCTCTATTAGGTTTTACCTTAAATTGTCCTTGGGCAGACACACACACCGCTAATATTGGATATTTTATTGGGTTCGGGATTCCTATGGATGACTGCCTAGGAGAGAGTGCAGAGAAGTGTGTAAGACTGCGACTACTCCTCCTGGTCTCAACTCCAATTTGTCATGGATTAAGTCCACAAAGCCCTGAAATGTTTGCGGAAATGAGATTTGCACCATCCAAAGTAGGATGAATGCCGTCTCTCTTAATCAGACCAGGTTTTCCCCAGAAGGCTGTCCAATTATTTACGAAGCCCACATTGTTTGCTGGGCACCACCAAGACAACCAGCGCTGAAATGATGACATTCGGCTATACATGTCGTCATTGATCAGATTGGGGAGGGGACCAGAGAAGATTACGGTGTCGGAGATTGTTTTAGCATAACTACACACCGATTCCACATTAAGTTTGGTGCATTCTGATTGGCGTAAACGAACATCATTACCACCGACGTGAATAACAATCCTACTGTATTTACGTTTATTTTTAGCCAGCAGTTTAAGATGCGCCTCAACGTCGCCCGCTCTGGCCCCCGGAATGCATGTGACTGTGGAGGCTTCGGTCTCTAAATTCACGTATCTCACATTAGAGCTACCAATAACCAGAGTTGGCTTCTCAGCGGGTGTCTCGCTGAGTGGGGAATATCTGTTAGATACGTGAACGGGTTGGTGGGGACCTGCGGGTTTCGCGTTATGCCCCTTCTGAACAGTCACCCAGTCTCCCTGCTGCTCGGGAGTTGTCGGGGGACGGCTAATAGGAGCTACCTTTTGCCGGTCCGCACCGGCTAACATCGGCTTTACTGTAGCTGAGTTACTTTCTAAGATGCGGAGCCGGGCTTCTATGGCTATGATTCCCGCCTCCAACCTAACAACTATACTACATTTAACACATGTACCGGTACCAGTAAAGGAGGTAGGGAAGTAACCAAACATGAGACAGTTAGAGCAGGAAATAGCACCCGAGGGTGGGGAAAGAGCCATGGCTAGCTATCAAGCTAAAGTAGCTACCGTTAGCAAACCCGAAAAGAGTGTAGACAACTTTGGAGTTACAGTCGCTAAGAGAAGGAGAGTTGTGAGTGCTTAAGCTATAGTAACGTGTGATTACAACGTCAGGCAGTTGCTGTGATCAAGAGTTTTAAAATGATCAATTAAGTTAAGATAATAAGCTATCAGCAACAGAACAGGCACACAGGATACCTGGAGGTGACAACAACCGGTAAGTTACAACATGCTTACCGCAATAGTGGTCCGTGTAGAAACCGTGACACACAGGAAATTCTTCTCTGCTCACTGGTGAGCAGAATGAGTGTTAAGCACATCAGGCTGGCAGTTGTATGGGCATTGCACTATGATGGTTTTTATTTGCACATTGTTAATCATGGAAAATGCATCCTTAAATTGTTTAACTGTGAGGTGTTATACAATTGTACTGTACTCTGGAGAGTTTTTTAAGGTAAGAAAGACACAGCATGATGGGATGCGCAGTACTAGTAGAGAAAACCAAATATGTAAATCCCTTTTTTGTTAATTTACGATTTGCTGCATATAAGGAATAAAACAAAAATCCTCTGTCGTACCATATTGATCATTATTTTGCATCGTATCGCCCCAAATCGCTGTGTTGAATCAAATCGCAGGGGTGAATCGTATCGTATCGCATCGCCTGGTGTTTCAAATGTATCGTTAATTTATCGTATCGTTGGCAAC